GTTTCTAACACTTACTTGCTACATCTGGTTTTCTCTTAATAAAGTATCCAGTTCTTACAAAGCAAGCAGACAAATCCCCGATGTTCTCTTACTGTGAGGCAGACGGACAGTTTGAAGCCCTCTCCATGCCACAGTGTAGGAAACAGTACAGAAGCTATCACTGCATGCCAGCACTGGTCTGAACACTCACAACTTCCCAAGAGAACTGAACTTCACCACTAGACTCTCTAAGAAGTCCAGATCATTTCTCATTACGAGGCTCTACTAACTTTTGGACTTTTTCCATGATAATTTATGCAAGGTTATTTTGGAAACCTCAATGTCACATTGCCAAATGTTCTTAAGAATTTACTCACTGGGGGTTAGAAAAATGACTCAGCAGTTAAGAGCACTTTCTGTTCTTGTAGAGGGCCTGTGTTCAGTTCCCAGTACCCACATGGTGGCTCACAACCATCTGTAACCCTAGTTCTAGGAAATCTAATTCCCTTGTCTGGCCTCTGAGAATACCAGGCACACATGTGGTACACATACATACATACAGGCAAAGCACACACATAAAATATAAATAAATCTTTCAAAACAAATAATTCACTATTTTCAAAAATTATTTTTTACATTTATTTATGTATGTGTGTGTATGTGTATATGTGTGTGTGTGTGTGTGTGTGTGTGTGTGTGTGTGCGCGCGCATGCGCGCGCGCGAGTGCGAGCATGTATGCCAGAGCACGCACGTGGAAGGACAACTTGCAGGAGTCAGGTCTTCCTTTCCACCAAGGGGTCTAGGGCTCAAACTCAGGCGCTCAGGCTGGATGCCGAGCACTTTCCCAGCTGAGCCACCTTGTTGACCCTCACTGTTTTCTACAGAAACATTTCACAGAGATTTGACCTGCTAAAGTCCAGTCACCTCTGTTTTCTTCTCACCCACAGACGTTACAAGCTTTGAATTTAGTGACACAGCACTTTCAGAGGTAAAACACGCTCGTCAATAGCCAGCCCGGGCCTAGCGACCTGCCATCCTTGCATCTATTACTCAACATGGAATAAGTAGAAAACATTCCCAAATAATTAGGCTGATTAATTATGCAAGGAAAGCCAGGAACACCCGGGAAAAGGCCTTTTCTCTGTAGTCCCCCGAACTCTCAGAAGCTCAGAGCGAAATCACAATTCTGTGAGCTGGTCAGTCAACCCCACTCTATCGCGTCAACAGCAAAAGCACGGTTTGAGACCGCTGCTGACGTTCCCAGCATTGGGCTCAAGGACCGCTCTTTTCCTCCTAGCTGACAGTGATCACTGTGAACCAAGCCTCTCTGTAGACTCATCTGTCATTCAGCTGCCGTTGTACAGCAGTGACAGGAGCATCCTTTTTGATGCAGCTTTTCATCTGGGGAAGAAGACAGTCAAAGAGCCTTCCTGGTTTTGACAGCATCACCAGTGACTAACGTAGCCCATACTCAAAGACAGCTAGCAGGCCGAGAGCACAGCTCACGATCCGAGTCATCCGGACCCCCAGCCTCTGGAGCTGCCCTCTGAAGCATCTGGATCGGACAGCTGTTTAAGAAACAGCCCAGCAAACTGGGCTCCCTTTGGCTGAACTTCAGTAGGAGACTAAATTCAGTAAGTGATCCCCCTGAATATGAGTCCTACCTCCCTCACAGAGACATCCCAGCACACATCTCACAACACATATGTTCCTAGGCCAAGTTCGAAGCAGCATGGCTAAACAGCGCTTTCTGTTGCTTGCAAACTCTGTGTGTGTGTGTGTGTGTATCTGTCTGTCTGAATACCATAAAGAAGCGCTCATATTTGCTAAATTTCTAGATGGTTCAGTTCTGTGAAAAGGGAGCACTAATAACTGCATGTTCCATTTGACCCTTTCTCAGACCATTCTTAGAATTAGACGGCTATAGTTTATCTTAAGAGTCCACAGGAAGATTTCCAATGTACACTCTTAAAAAGATTATCATCATCATGTAGACAAAGTCTTACACAGTGGTCCCAGCTGGCCTAGGATATACTCTATAGTCTAGGCTGGCCTCAAACTCACAGCAATCCTACTGTCTCAGCCTTCTGAGCAACATCAGCATTGGGCGCAGTACATTTAGAAGACACCCCAAAGCTGTCACTACTGAAACACAGATAGGAATGGGCAGCAAATGACCAGGGAAGCGAGGAACTTCTGCAGGGTAGGAGTAACCTGAAGGCGAGTGCAGGTGTGTGAAAAGGTAAAGTTGAGACAGAGGGTAAGGAATGGCATCATCAAGAACAAGACAGCACTTAACCTGTGCCGGCAGACGCTGTCAAGAACTGGAGAGATGGCCCAAAGGAGACCAAAATGGCAGAGTGAAAGCTACCCTGGCGACAGCCACCTTCAGTATGGAGTCCCCTTATGCAGACCAATTCTGGAACACAGAGAGAATGTGCCGAGGTGGAAGGAATGTCAGATTTAGAGGCAGAGTCTGAGATTCAGTTCTAGTACTAGTTGCAGCTCCAGGCAAGTTACACAACTACTCTTCTGTCAGTCTCTGCATCTGTAAAACTAGTTTGCCAATGGGTTTGCCAAACTTAGTTTGTAGTAAGTTTGATAATAATTAGAGACTATATGTGCAGCAATTAAATGGGATCCTCAGCTAACAAGGCAGTAGACAGTAACTGACAGTTTATTACTCCTGCACCGTTATAGTAACACAGACAGTAGTCTCACAAATGCCGTTTCTGATGGGAACACACCTTACATACATAGTTATCGATGATAATAACAGGAGAAGACTGCAGAGGCAACACTAGACTTAATAAGCGCATCTCTTTCTGGACACATCTGACAGTCAAATCATGAAAAATTCAAGGTTGCTTATAAGAGAATTTGCAGTTTCCCTCTGAACTCTGATGTTACATTTGTAAGTGGAGTTTTATGCCACACAAACAAATGAAATGACTTAATCATGTCTCTCCCTCCCTCTCATCCCTGCCTTCCTTTATTTATTACCAGCACTGACTGCACCAGCCGGTAATCACATGGTTGAGAGCCATTAGGAAGTGGTCCAAAGGTTCTGGTGGCTACTGTGGGGTAGGAAGTGTCTTGAACATGAGAAATGTTCAAGAGGATGTGTAGCTAGAGTTTTCCGGCCTGGCCCACAGTCAGGACAAATCTCTGTCATTCGCCAGTCCCACAGCCGCTCAGACCCAACCAAGTAAACACAGAGACTTATATTGCTTACAAACTGTACGGCCGTGCCAGGCTTCTAGCTATCTAGTTCTTACATCTTAAATGAATCCATTTTTATAAATCTATACCTTGCCACGTGGCTCGTGGCTTACCGGCGTCTTCGCATGCTGCTTTGTCATGGTGGTGGCTAGCAGTGTCTCCCTTCTGCCTTCCTGTTCTCTCCTTTCTCCTCTCTGTTAATCCTGCCTATACTTCCTGCCTGGCCACTGGCCAATCAGTGTTTTATTTATTGACCAATCAGAGCATTTGACATACAGACCATCCCACAGCAAGGATGAGCATAAATGGGGTGAGTTACTCCACAGCTTCGGCTCCTCACTTTTGAGTCATCTATACCTGTATACTTCTTTATAATTCTCATCCATAAACTATGTGGGATAGAGATGATCATCTCTGGCCTACAAATATGGGCAGTGAAGCTCAGCAATTCCTACAGATCACACCTTGTGAAGAGGCACAATCTGCCTCTGTACTGTGCAGGTGCTCGGCCCCTGCAATTGTTCTGAGTTCTCTTTGTTAGTCCAGCAGGTATGTTTACTCTTCAAACATTTATATTTGATATTCTCACTCTAAAAGCTCAGATTTCTGAGAAATATTGTTTGCCTTTGAATGGCTTTATGTTAATTTGTTCATTCTATAATTGTGGAGTATATTTGTGGGAAATTAATCTCCTTAAATTTAGCAGTCTTTCTTATGTGAATTTATTTTGATGTTTCCAATGTTTTAAAGACTTCATGAAGAGATTTTAAACTGAAAATAGACAAAAATGAATTATATTGGCAAACATTTCCTTTCAGAAGCTAGTGAACTCTTTACTTCATTGTCCTTAGAGATAAATTATTACTATAAGATGCTTTTATGAGTGAAATTACTATAGTTTAAGGTCCTATGTGACTTCATTTTTTTTAAAATTGGCACCTTTGTTTCTTAGAAGTTGAAAAATAGTTTAGTTCTATGTGAAATAAATGTACCATATTATTAAAGACCCATGGTATCTGCCATGTGACAGGTCAAAATAGACCAACTATGGAAATCTACAGAGGACAGGTTTTTATCAGCCACGGCGGCATTTTTAGCACAGTGGGCTATTCATGCAATCTTAAAGTCTTTCAACGTTTACAGTCAGATTTGCTGGCCTTAGTACTTATAACAATATCTAAACAGGCAGATTTGGGGTTCAGGGTAGTGGTTAGTGGCAGAGAGCCTGCCTAGCATGTGTGGCTCTGGGATAAATTACAGGAGCAAGGGAAAAGGGGAAACAGGAAGTAGCAGGTGTGTTTGTCCTCATAGTTATCCATTCATAATGCCCAAGGCTCTGTCAGACTTACAGTCTCTCTCTCTGCGCGCGCGTGCGCGCGCGCACACACACACACACACACACACACACACACACACACACACTCGTTAACTCCCTTTTCACAGTACTCTCTTATAGCTGGTGTATCCCCTGACGGCACTGTCTGTGAGCACAGGACCCCTGACTAGGCATGGTAGCATGCCTGCAGCCCCAGCACTTGGGAGGCTGAGGAAGGAAGCGAAGGTTCAAGATCGCTGTGGCCACACAGGGGGACACTGCCTGGGAAGACACGCAACGACAACATCCCTGACTAAAATAATGTCACTTCTCATCTGGTAATGACGCTGTTGTTCATGTAAAAAACCGATTTACCGAGGCATCATCAGGAGAATAGGAAGAAACTAAGCCATTCTAGTTAACGATGTATGTTGTGTTTTATGCGTTGGCTGGTCTATTCTATCATATGACCACAACACTTACCAAGTGGCAAGAATGCAAGACGGTTTCCAGCCATGGAGAGCTCGTTGAGGCTGGGCAGCCGGCAGAGCTGGCGCGGCACACACCACAGCCGATTGCGGTCCACGGTGAGGTACTGCAGAGAAAGGCACAGGTGAAGCCTCTCGGGTAAAGCTAGCAAACGATTGGTAGAAATGTCTAGTGTCTGCAGCTCCTTCAAATCGCCAACCTCTACAACCAAAATCAAAATGAAGACAAATCGCATTCTGATTAACTTAAAAGAGAAAGTAAAACGAGTCAATACTGCTACAGTTCAAATAATAAAATCAGTTCATAGGACTATTTCCACAGATACGGTGCACAGAATCTGGGGCTAGACTGCAAGCCATCCAGCCCCAGTAAGCATCCTTCTCTGTGCTCGCTCACCAGTGCATGTGTGGAGAAGTCAACACCGGCGTCTTCCTCCATGTCTCCACTTCCTGCGCCTGGTACTTACTGTTTCAGTTATTCTGGCTGGCCAGGGAGCCCCCAGGTTCTACCTTTCCTTAACTCCCTATATCAGTTAGGGTTACAGATGTGCACCATGGTGGTTTTTTTTTTTTCATTTTTTGTTGTTATTTTTTGTTTTTGTTTTTGTTTTTCGAGACAGGGTTTCTCTGTGTAGTTTTGGTGTCTGTCCTGGAACTCCCTCTGTAGACCAGGCTGGCCTTGAACTCACAGAGATCCGCCTGGCTCTGCCTCCCGAGTGCTGGGATTAAAGGCGTGCGCCACCACCGCCTGGCAGGTATCTGGCTTTTTATGGGGATCTGAATTCAGGTCCTCATGCTTCAATAGCAAGCACATCACTTTCTGAGCCACCTGCCCCGCTAATGCCAGGCTTTCCTAAATGCTGGAAAGTGTTGGCTTGGAGAAAGGGTGGGAGCACAGAGTGGTGAACCTGACCAGAAGTCTGATACTGATGAATCCAAGTTTTTGTTCAGGTAAGAAGGGAATGATTACTTCAAGGCAGCTGCTTCTGATACCTGTACAGCTGACCTTCTATGTAGGTAACAGGGAAGAAGAGAGAGAAGGCATCTTGATAAACACAACAGGACTGAATGGAAGATCCCTGCACTTAGAAGCAGGGAGCCTTAGAAGACTGACTTCATCTACCTCTTGGTCCATCAGTCCCTCCTCACGGGTATGTACGTTCTAATCTGCTCCCCTGTGAGTACACCCATGTTCCTGTCAGGTCACTAAGTGCTAAGTGAACACTGGTACATTCTTTACAAGAAACCAAGTTGTTCTTGGACAGCAATCACCATTTCATGGAAAGATACTTACTCTGTCCAAGACGCCACCCTCTACTCCCCGGCTCCACCTGAGCACTGGGCAGGACAGGTCTACTTCGTCCCTCCATAGACACTTTGTATCAAAGACTGCCTGATGCCGCCTCACCCTCCTCCTTTCTCACCCCTCTCCAGGCCATTCCTCTTAGGTTAGGATTTACAGCACCACCCTGGCACACAGCAATTAGCTTAGGATGTGAACGAGCAACACCCCCTCCATGAGATAATAAAGTCTTATGCCTTCACAGGAGCTCTTCTTCCTGCTCCTGACCAGGACTTAGCCACACTACCACTCTCAGACCACACCTAGCTCAGGCCTGCTGGCAAGTTACATCTTGAAGACAGGAAACCACAACATCCAAATGAGGATCAAATGGTAGAGGCCATACGTGACCTACAAAGCTTAAATGTATTTGTTATCTGCACATTTACTACAAAAGTCTTCTGTCTTTGCTATAAAATGCTATAAAATCTTTAAAATTTTTATTATATTTATTACTAGTAGAGTATGTACACATACTTGTGTTCAGAAGTCGGAGGGCATTCTGAGAGTTGATTCTCTCTGCCACCATGCAGATTCTGGGTATCCAGTTCCAGTCATCAGGCCTGGCAACAGGAGCATTTACCTTCTGAGCCATCTCCCTGGCCCTAGGAACATTCTTAGGAGCTAATTTTTTTTTTATATCAAAGTAATGTGGGGTCAAACATATTAACTCAAGTCACTTTCCTAATACTGACAAACTTGTCCTAGGATGTTCGTGATTTATTGTTCAATTTCTCCAAAACTGAGAAAATATTCATTTGCAGACAGGTGGGCATGATTTTGTATCAATGGGAGTTTTGGTCCCTCTGAACTTAATTGATATTCATGGCACTCAAATTCACACATGAGCTCACCTCTTAGCTGTGACGTCGCTGATAAAGTCCATGTTCATATCTATTTCACAAAATAAAGTTGCTACTTATGTGGGGTGTAATGATGAGGGAGTTGTGGAACTCGTGTTTTAAAAGTGAATAAAAAAAATAAATAAGAAAAACAAACAGAAACAACAGGAAAGAAACGTTTTTGACCTAACTTCCCACAATGACTCTAGGTGTGACTGGACATCTACATGGGCCGAGGGACGAGAGAAAGGCACAGGAGGCAGTAAGTACCCTTGGAGCCTTGGTACTCACAGGAGACAAGGTGTGACAGGAGCTCCAATCAGGGAGAGCCACAGGAAGAGCTCAGGCTTCTGGAAAAGTTCCAGGGATGGAGCCTGGAAAGGTCAAAAGGAAAGAGGATATTGCATTCCCAGCAGGGTGTGGGCTGTAATTGGAAGCGTGAGGAAGGGCACAGAAGTAAAAACACTGGACAGTGTGCCCATGCCCAGCAAGTGCCCACACACAGTGAGAAGAGCAGAGGAGAAGGCCAAGGCCGAGGGCCGGCTGCAGGCAGGGATGTCGCACGATGACAATGAACATCAAGACGGCCGAACTGTTTAGAGCATGAATGTGAAGTCCTCTTTGGAAGCTCCAAGGAAACGCAGAGAAAGCACTGGAGTGGAGAGCCTGGGCTGAGAGGATGAGGATGTGTGTCACTATAAAAGGAAGTATCAGGGAATTTCAGGAAAACTCCAGAGACATTTTAAGAAAGGCAAACTTGACTAGATATGGAAAACAACACAATAGGAAAAAGTCGAGGTCAAGTTTAAGCTTCTACTACCCTCTAGAGCAGTGGCTCTCAACCTTCCCAACACTTCGGCCCATCATACATAGAGTTCCTCATGCTGTGTTAACTCCCAACCATAAAATCACTCCATTACTACTTCCTATCTGTAATTTTGCTACTGTTATGAATCATAATGCAAATATGTGATAAGCAGGCTATCTGATATTCGAGCCCTGAGAACTGCTGCTCTACAGCATTACTCAAGATATGAAGATGCAAATCCAAAAATTTGCTTTCCTAGAAAAGAACATTTTAATAGAAATGATTAAAAATGAACCACGCTGACCTCATTTGACCCCTCAGAAACGAAAGCAGAAGATACACTGTTTTGAATACACATGGTGTATTCTCCAGGTTTGAGCATACACTGTACAACTGAGCGGGTCTCACATTCCAAAGGACTGAATTGTGTAAGTGCCCTGAGCAAACGAGGTTCAAGGCACAAGAGAAAAGCTCCACAGCAGATCAGAAAAGGCAGACCAAAGAACCAGTGCCAGACAGACAATGGGATTTAGATGATCAGAAAGCAAGAGGAAGACAAAAGTGAACAGAACTTCACACACCTGCAGGACAGGAAGAAATTATAAAAACACTTGGTACCCCAACAGGAAGAGAATCAGGAAAGGGGGTCGGAAAAGTTTCAAAATAGTGGTTAAATTTTTTTTTCTTTTCTTTTTTTTCCCTGTTTTTCCTTGTAGTGGTTAAATTTTAATCTAAAGATCCAAGCTGCTCAATAAAGACCAGAAACACAAAGAGATCTACTTCTGCACTCACACATCATGAAAGACTACTGTTAGAAATCATGACTGCTTGTGTTCATGATATCACGACAACGAAAACCATAAAACTTAAAAGCCAACAAGGCAACTGAAATTGTACACTTTAAAAAAAAATCAAAGCGAGGGCCGGAAAGAGGCTCAGAAGGTAACAGCACTCAGTGAGCAAGTCCAGAGACTGGGCCCAGTCTCAGTTCAACCCACACGCACATCACGACACACTCACGTCTCTGCACTCCCCTGTCCCACCCCCCAATAAAAAATTAAACTAAAAAAAAGAAATAAAGGAACAAAAATATTTGAGTTACATGAACTATAAATAGCAAAATGATGGATATGAATATAACCATATAAATAAGTACATTAAATATAAACTGGGCTAAGTGTGGTGGCCCACGCCTTTAATCTCAGCACTTGGGAGGCAGAGGCAGGTGGATCTCCAAGTTTGAGGCCAGCCTGGTCTAAAAAGAAAATTCAAGGCTACATAGAGAAATTCTGTCTTGAAAAACCAAAGACAAAAAAGAAATTGACTAAATAACCCAATCATATGCAAAAGGATGTTAGACTGCCTTTTCAAGTAAGAAACATAGGCCAGAGTCAAAGGTACAACTAGGGTTTAGGTCCAAGGAGGAAAAAGTACAGCAGGTAAACAATAACCGTAAGAAACAAGGTTATTTTTCTATCACAAAACAGACAGGAGGCTAAGAGACAGAGAATAGTTCATAATCATAAAATAGAAATTCAGGAAGAAACAATAATGACAAGTATATACATACCTAATAAAAGCTCCAAGTGAAGGGATGAAACAACACAAGAAGCAGCATTTCAACACACCACTGTCACTACTGACGGAGCAACAGGACATAAGTACGGCAGGAATACACAAGACTCAAGCTCCACGGAAAGCAAGCTGAGTCTTTTGACACCTTGGAAACTGCACCAGGAAACAGTTTTGGAGCGCATGATGCATTATCCAGGGTTAACCATATGCTACACCGTTAAATAGGTCTCATAATTAAAGGACTGAAATCATACAAAGGGTGCACTCTGACCCATGGGATTCAAGTAGGAATACACAGAAGAAAGAAATCTGGGAAATCTCCAAATACCTGAGAATTAAGCAGCATACTTCTAAATAACCAGCAAGTAAAAGAAATTGAAAGGAAAATTAGAAAATGTTTTTGATTAAATGAAAACAATCATGAGCAAATGCCCAGGCTGACGGGATGCCAACAGGGAGGTGGGATGGCAGCTGAGCTCGGTGGTTCCCGGAAAGCTCCAGACATGCTTCAGAAGCTTCCACTGTGAGAGAGGAGAAAAAGAGCAACCAGGAAACTCAGAGTAAGCGGAGGGAACAATCAAAGCTACAGTAATGAAGCAGAAATCTGCAAAACAGAAACTCAATAGAAACCAAGT